GTATATTATGCTGATTGACTGGTTCAATGGTGAAAGCGTGATCGAGTACTTCGCGGATGCTTTGTGATCAGAAATGCGAGTTGAAAAACAAGAAAGGATGAGGGAGAAATCAGCAACGTAGTAGATTGAAAGATAATTTCGTTCATCAAGAAATGTTTCACCAGTTCAATCGACACTTTCTCGCCGGGACGTGAAGGAAACCGGCTTCAATGTTTGGACGTGGGAGGATTATGGAACATCATATTGTCGAGATTGGTCGGTCTACAGAATGATGAATATAAACAAAAGGAGTCAGTAGCTTTCCAGACATGACTCGTCTAGGATGTTTCCACCCAAATATTTCCTTGTTGGAAAACATCCCTAAAATGATTTTGATGATAATAGAACTTGTCTGAGTATTTTAATAAATTTGATTAAGCGTGCGGTCATATTAAATTATTATTGAAATAAGAAGAACCAAAGGCTGTTTTGGTGGAGAATAATCAGTGTGCTCAAAACTTGCCCCGTATAGAAGATTTGCTACCAATAGGCCGATGGACATGAAGGCTAGTGGATCCAAGCTTAGAGTTCAAATTTGGAGGCCTATAAGAAGTCCCAAGCGACGAGCAAAACAGAGTTAGCGAACAGAGTGCTTGAAACCGAGAAATTAAAGTATTTCTAGAGTGTTCTTCACGTCGTCTCCATATTGCTATGCTACAGTCACGTAAGCGGTGTTCCAATGAGCTAGCAAGAGTGTCGAACCCATCTGTAAACACGTGATGGTTGTACCGAGAGAGAAAGCATTTGTCTAAGCGAGAGACAAAGTGTGCGAGGGACTCTTTGTGAACACTTAAAAGCGTGGCTTATAGTTTGGCGATAGCGAGTCTCTAGTACTGTATGTATAAGGTGGGAGAACAATTATTGGAGGGTCCAATGGTTATTAATCTATGTCGGGATTGCTATAAAAGGAGTCGGGTCCGATGGTTCTTGATTGCTTATTCGGGCCCGACATGCCTGAACATCTCCGCCAAGAAACAAGAAAGCAATAAACAGAGTGAGTCCCACCATCAATGGTCCATTTGCTACCTTTATAAGATTGTGGAGCAGATTCAACATCACTTACTACAGCAAAACCACCAAACTGTGCCTGATCCTCCCACAAGAAGTTCAGTTTTCTTTTCATAGAGTTTTGCACGCCTCAGATTTTGTTTGAAGTAATACGTGTCTACTTAGATCTGGCCCATAAGATACAGGAGGGATGGATAAAATGGAGAAGTGCGCACCTGGGATTTTGTGCGACTATTGAATGTCACTTAAGCTCCAGGGAAATTTCTGCAGGATGACAATAAGGCTGGCAATGCTTTTTGACACTGAGTGTTGAGTGAGCAATAGTATTAAGAGTAGGGGTGGTCGGCTTTAAGGTAGAAGGTTCCAAACTAGGAGCTTAGAATCTATCCTGTGAGGTAGACATGGCCACGGTTTAGGAACCGCCGGTTCCGGTTCATGGCCATGTATGAACCGGCTGTTCCGGTTCGTAGCCGGCGGTTCCGGGACGGTTCCGGTTCCGGTTCCGGCCGGTTCCAGTTCAAGGGGGGAGGAGGAGAAAAGGGGAGGAGGCGCAGGGTAGCGAGGGGGGAGGAGGAGGGGGCGTCGGCGGCTGCGGCCATGGGCGGGGGCGACGGCGGCGGGGGTCAGATCTGGGAAGACGGGGGGCGGGCGGAGGAGAAAAGGGGAGGACCGGAGGAGGCGCAGAGGAGAGGGGGGAAGGAGGGATTTGGAGGAGGAGGACCGGAAGGAGAGGTGCTGGTGGTTCATGGCTTGGGTGTAGAGCTGGGAGAGGGAGTTGGCGGCGCTGCAGAAGGAGGAGTAGAGGCTCCGGTCCACCTCGTCGAGGCGGGACGCGACGGACTTCCTCTTCTTCGCCATGGGTGGATCACCGGAGGGGGGAAAAGGGGGGAAGGTAGGGTTTTCCTCTCCGATCGAATTCGAACCGCGAAGAGAGAGAGAGAGAGAGAGAGAGAGAGAGTCAAAGAAGACGAGAGAGAAGATGGCGGAGGGGGGAAGCTTGTAGGGAAAAAGGCAAAACAGTTTGGGGGAGATGCTGCAGCAATGCAGCAGTTTTTTTTTTTTTAAACCGGAATCGGGCCCGTAAGCCATGGGCCGGTTCCGAACCGCGAGCCCGGTAAACGGGCCGGATCCGGGCAAAAACCGGCCCGTGGCCATGTCTACTGTGAGGGACAAAATATGGTTTTAGGGTGGTAGGTTTCGGGATCAACAACTTTGGTTCCCGGTCCTAAAAATTTATTTGAAATAAGCCAAATTGCTCACCTTTAATAGAATGTGCACGAATTGAGTAGAGCGGAGATGAGAATGCTTTATAGGATGTGTGGGCACACACGAAAAATGATAAAGTTAAAGATGAAATTATTAAGAACACTGTAAGTGTTACCCCAATTAAGGATAAGATGAGAAAAGATGTTAGAGATGGTTTGGCAATGTTCAAAGGCATTCAACTGCTCTAGTGAGGTGATGTGAATAAGGGTTGGATTCGCTGGTTAAATGCTTTAGAGAAATGCTTACAAGGATGTGGAAGGAGACCGTAAGAGAAGATACGAAACGTTCTAGGGTTCACAGAAGATGAAGCCCTCAAGGAAAAAGCAGGTGTTGCCCTAATCGAGGAAAAGTTGGGAGAAGGCCATCTGAAATGGTGGAGCCATGTCGAACAAAGAAAGGCCTTCAAATGCTCCAATGAAGAGATGCGAACAAAGATGGATCCATTGGTTAAAAGGGGCAGGGAAATGCCTAAGAGAACGTGAAAGGGGACAGACAAGAAAAGATACAAAATATTCAGAACTCGCAGAGAATCTAAAAACTGATCAGAGCGCACGACGACGTGATAGGATTCGTGTATCCGACCGGACCGACCCCACTTAATGGGCGAAGGCTTGGCTGTTGTCAGCATCATCCGCTCTGGATATCCATGAGGGTGGAGCAAATAGTCTAGCTTCTTTCGTTTTTGGGCAAAAGTCACCAAAACTCTTGAATTATGTCCATTGTGACATATTTATCATAAATTTTTTTCCGTAATACAAAAAATCCCAAATTTATACTTACGTGGCACATTTACCCTTCATCAAAATTCTGTCAATAAGAATAATTAAAAATCTGTCTACATTGATGTTGGAAAGCAAACGTTATTGATAGATCGCTCACGTGCTTACGTGAAATAAAAACGATGTTATTTTGACTGAAAAATAATCCGACAGAACCTTAATGAAGGGTAAATGTATCACATAGTTACAAGTTCGGGATTTTTTATGTCACAAGAAAAAGTTTAGGATAAATGTATTACAATAGACATAATGTCACAAAAATAGTTCAAAGTAAATGCAGTACAGTTTGTTGAGGTTATCTCACATCGATTATGAAAAGAACTGGTAGTTAGTTTATAAGTGTGAGGGAAAGTCTCATATTTTAAGCTGATTTTTGGGGTAAGAGAGGCCCAACATCTCCTCGATGTGTGAGGGGGAGATTGTTGGGGTTTTCCCTTCCTTTTGGAAGAATCTAATACACGATCCAGAAAATTGATAAGTGTAATGGTGTTTTTTTTTAATTTGAACCATGTCACGAAAAAGCTCCATTATTACCATCAATTATATTAATTATAAAAAAATGCTTTATCAAACGCTTAGTAACGTCAGTGTACTTCGACAATAATTTTGTAATTTGTTTTAATTTAGATGTATTTTGAAGCATATATTGTTGGTGAAAGTGTTCCTTTTATATGAATGTATACAAATACAAAAGTGGGCAAAATGCTGATTTTTTTCAAATCAGCAAAAATCTCCATTGCTACTATTTTGTACATTGATAGAAAAAATTCTTAATTACCACACTAATAGTAACATTAATGTACTTCAACATTAATTTCATTGATTTATTAATTTAGATATGCTGATATTTGATAGTTAATAAAACTAGTTCTGTGCGTCGAAAATCATATTTTTACTTAACTCTTCATCTCATAGTTTATTCAAATTTTTTCCATTTATAAAAATTTTACAAAATATATATTCGCCAAACCAAAGCTGTAGATAAAAATACTTTTAAAATTGTGCATCGAACGGGAATTTCGCTAGTTTGATTTTTAGATCAATTAACATGAGAGGTTGATGTAATATGCGTGAGAGCGATGCAATAAGGGACAATTAAACAAATGGTTCTTGAATTTTGGTCCTATGTGCAGTGTCGTCTTCAAATATATAATTTATTTAATGTGATCTTTGAATTTTAGTATAATATGCAATGTTGTTTCTAAACTTTTAATTGTTCAATTTGATCTCTGAATTTATAGTACATGTTCCATATATTTCCTAAACTACATGAGAATTTTCAATGTTGTTTCTGAACTTGAATCAATGGAAGGACAATATTGAACATTTTCATATAGTTCAGGGACTAAATTAAACATGTAAGAAAAGTTCATGGACCACACTGAACAAATTATAAGTTCGGGGATGACATGACACGTTGGGCTGAAGTTCAGTGACCATTTGAGTTGTTTTTCCCATCCCAACGGAGACTCTTTATTGGTTCATTACTATGCACATCTGCATGTTTCCTTAAATATTCATTTTGTACACCGGAACGTTGCTAAAAAAGATACTTCGAGTTGTACTTGAAGGAAACAATCGCACGAGTGACATGCATGTACTAGAAGTTTAGAGCAAAGCACGTGCCATGCTCATAATTCCCATGCGTGCATTTTCCTCCTCATACTTCCCTCCTATCTGACTTTTTGTCTTGGCATCTATAATGGCTATTCATCAGCTCAATCAACATGCGTATCAAGAGAAAGTTTCAAGGACGTAACTCCAAATTGCATAACAACGGCAGAGCCAAACGGGTCTCTGTGTTCTTGATTCCATCGCCAGTTGCTGTCACTGCCATGAACCACTCATTTCAGCCTCAGGGGCGAATCATTTCTTATCTTATTCTTGTCTTTTGTCCACGCTGACTCCATAATATCATCAGAGACTTCTCTAAGTAGTGCGCGAGAAGAAGAGAAGGCAGCAGTCGAAGACCGAAAGAGAATGGCCATCTCCAGTGGCATCGCAACGCCATGCACTCTCGTGAGTCTTAGGCTTCACCCTTTTGTTGTGGCTTTTCTTCTCCTGCAGGGGCATGTCCAGCTCTCCTGTTGTGGCTCAAGAGTGGAGTTCCTTCCTGGATTTGAAGGGCCTCTTCCGTTTCATCTTGAAACTGGGTGAGTGTGAGTCTAGTGCCGATCTACGAGGCTTTTGTCGATCATGTGTCTCTGGTCATTTGAAACGACGTGGCTCAATCCACGTGAACTGAACCCAAATAGAGTACTCGAGTGAGTGCTACTATCTAGGGGTTATCGGTTTCATGGTAGGTAGGTTTCATGTTAGAACATATTCTCAATTTTTGAAACTTGGATCCTATCATTTTTGCTCTGGAACTGACCTTGGAACCTACCATATTTTTTCGGTCCTGCTCCAGGGTCTACCCGATAACTTATTTTTCTTTTGTTCCTTTTTTGATTCGTTTTTTATAAAAAAAAAAATTAATCCAAGATGGTTCAAAGTAAAACATGAATGAGGACGAGCAAGCACAGGCGAGTCAAGAATGATTGAGGGTTGTGAGGCTCGCATGAACAGGGGCGAGCTACAAGCGAGAGAGAGAGAGTCGTGAAGTATCCGAGTGAGGTTGGAGAAAATAAAGAAAAAGAGAGAGAGAAATGAAAAGAGAAAAACTAAGGTTTTTAGCTTTATAAAACCGGATCTAAATTCGGTCCAGTTGATCCGGTTTTCACTTTAGAACCGGGAAGTGGACCGATTCCAACGGGAATATGGAACCGAACCGGTTTTTGAGGTGATCCGTCTGGTTCCCAAGTAGAACCTGTCTGGTTACACAGCCCTATTATTTTCGCCAATGTCGATGCAAAATTCCTGCGTCGCTTCGTAGACCTTAGCAATGTGGTGTCCCGTTCCCAGGTTTACCGATCCACCAGGCCAACACATAAGTGGACTCCAATGCTCCAGGGGTTCGTATACTATACCATTAGTAATGACCCAATTAACAATGTCAATCCACATCAGCCAAGTATTTAAAAGAAGTATCAGGAGGTGCCTGACCTACTTATGAATCACTCTACATTCTCCTCCGCCCCAAGCCATGTAGGTTAAGCCCTAAATGGAATATTAAGTGATGACAATTAGAGTTAGGAGAGATTGGCTTCAGGGAGTTTGGTTTCGAAACCGGAGAGCGGAATATACCTCATAGGTCATGGTTCCGGAAAATTGGACCAAGAAACCAAACCGGTTTTACGTGGAACCAACTAGGAACAGAACTAGCATGTTCTAGTTATACTCGAGAATCGGATTTGTTCTTTAAAAATCACATAATTGATATTATATATTATTAGTTTTGACTTATGACTGGTAAATGGATGGTCTTGTGTACTTACATTTTTTTTGTTGCGTTTCACTACATAGTTTTTAAATAAGCTGGTGTATGAGACCAACTCGGTCCAATTTCCAGATTGAACGGCGTTTTTAATGTTGTCTTTGCTTATAAATTGTTATGTATTAGCTCCCTCCCCATGTATAAATTGGGTCTCAATGATGTGGATCTAAATTTTTTTCCTTTTTCATTTTTTTGTTGATCGATTTTCTTTAGTAGGTAAACCTATGCATATAAAACATCATAGTAATATCATGGATCAGGTAATACGTAAGTCTTATCCGAGTGAGTCACCAAGCATATAGAAGTATTTTGTATGAGGTGCTCTGAATTAGGGGTGAGCAATCGGGCCGATCATCAACACGGGAACCGAACTAAATTGGCCAATAACCAAGCAGCTCCGGGACGAACCGGTTTGATTGTCGCAATCAAACCATGCAACTGGTCTGGTACTCTGTTCTTATGCCAAAACTGCGGGTAAGGTAGTGAGATGCAATTAGGGAGAATGGAATCCACAATCTCCGACTTGAAGTAGGCACATAAGACCACTCAACTAACACGACTTAATTAGCGACCAAAAAAAATAAGACTTAATTTATTATAGACTTAAAAATTAGCTAATATTAATCGTGTGATTTTTACAAATAAATCCGGTTTTTGGGTAGAACTAGGACCCGGCTGATTCGGTTCCAGGTTGGCTCTAAGTATAACCGGTTTGGTTCTCGGTTCTAATTTTTCGGGAACCGAGACCTATAGAGTAGGTTGTAGGTTCCAATCTCCAATAACAACCTACATTGAAATCGATCACCCTCATCTAAATAGTCAAAATTTTGTCATGAGTTTAATCCACATGTACATGTTGATTCCTTAACTAATATAACAATCCATGATTGGGTCTAAAGTTAGTTTAAAGTTTTTGAGAAAAATGGCATTTCCGAGGCTTAGAATTGTTCAAATTCATCATTTGTTGGGCAATACTAAGCATACTATTATCGGTCTGCAAAATTGATATACCAGTCCTATGCTGTTCCTGTTCATGTTTCGCATTCGATTGACATGCCTATACGACCAGTGTTGGCGTTGTTAAGCCTACCGTTATTCCTTAAAGCTTTACGGCAGATTTGATCAATATGATGTGCTTTGCATATTGAATCAGGTATGTGGGTGTGGGTGAATCAGAAGCAATTCAACTCTTCTACTACTTTGTGGAGTCGGAGAGAAATCCTAAGGAAGATGCTCTCTTTCTCTGGCTAACCGGCGGTCCGGGTTGCTCGGCTTTTTCCGGTCTCATCTATGAAATCGGTGAGATTGAGGGAGCTACGTATCGTGTCATGCTACTCGCACAGCTGCACCGATTTTCTCCTTGTCAATCACATGGTGATCACTTGCTCTTGCAGGTCCGTTAAATTTCAAAATAAAGGCCTACAATAGGAGCTTGCCGGAGTTAGTTTTCAATCCATATTCATGGACAAAGGTAATGGCACACTATGAATTGACGAGACTAAATTCATACCAGATGATGATACTACATTGTATTTTCTTGAGATGGTTGCGATCAAAACTAATAGTTGGGATTCTCAGGCATCCAGCATTATATTTGTCGATTCGCCCGTCGGGACTGGATTCTCATATGCAGAAAACCCGCTTGCTTATGAGACCGGAGATTTTATACAAGTGCAACATCTTCATCAGTTTTTAAGGAAGGTATGCTCACGGAATTCTGATCTAACTAGGAGCAACAGTCTGTGTACTGCTGATTCGATGCTTTTTTCGAATTCGGATGATTTAATGAGATAACTAACTTGCTCATATAATTTGGGGGGACATTGCAGTGGTTGATTAGTCATCCTGAGTTCATCTCAAACCCTGTTTACGTCGGCGGAGACTCGTATTCGGGACTCACCATCCCAGTCCTTGTTCAAGAGATCATAAATGGTAATTGACAATGATATTAGCCTATCTTATGGAAAGGACCATTGTATTATTCATCCCAATAGTTCGGTTTCCATTTACACTTGTTTAAGGGGTTATGTAGTAGTCATATTAGAGATGAAGGCCTAGAAACTGAAGAACTTGTTAGAATGTGAGATTGATTCAAAAGCACAACTCAATGATCTGCACCAGATTACCATGGCTCCCAACTTCCTCCGTCCATTATCCAACTCAAGTCATAGGTATCAATACCTAATGATTTCCGATGAATGGCAACCAACATGGAATGGCCAAGATTCTAAATCAAAAGCTCAAATTTGGTCTGAAAAGAAGAATTCTACAGCTGAAATCAGTGTTGGCTAGGTTAATGTGAATTCGGATATTTGAGCACTTAACAGTAAAGTGACAAGCAAAATGCTACTGGCTTTCATTCTCATTTTCCATGGCCTCGCAGGAAACGATGAAGGCGAAAATCCAGCTATAAACATCCAGGTTTGTAGATGTATAATGACTGGCACACTGAACCAAGAAAGAGAAGTTTGCTCAACACTCTGCTTGACTAGAAGTTAGATTCTTCTGAATGGATGCAGGGTTACGTGCTCGGAAATCCGGCGACCGATCCGGGTTTCGACCAAAATGCACCAGTACCGTTTGCTCATGGAATGGGACTCATCTCGGACGAGCTCTATGAGGTGATTTGGTGTTTTCCCTGCATAAATGATCCAATTACATTCTGCTTACGGCCCCAAAGGGGTGGAGGATCATACTGAACATGGAGACCAACAAAATTTGTCCGCTGCAGTCACTAAAGAGAACTTGTAGAGGGCAATATCAACTTTCCGAGACCACTAATGCGGAGTGTGTGAACGATCTTCTGGCTTTCTATCAGGTATCCCGCGCTTACGCCAAGTGAATGAGTTCAGTTGATGTAGATAGCCCAAGCATCCTCTAGGTCTTATAGCTGAACCTTTCGGCGTATACCAAGATGATACATCATCCATGTACTGCCTGTTGCCTTCACAGTGCACTTCGGGACTTCAAACTGCACAAATCCTGGAACCTCTGTGTGGATTCGCATCGCCAAAGCCTGGGGAGATGTTCGGAGACAGGAGATCTCTTCTTGAGAATTTCTTCCTCGTTCGTGAACCCACCGATCCCGATTCAGGCTGTCGGGTAGCTTGTCCTACATACACTCTCCTTGTTCTGTAGTTTATGGATTGTGGATTGCTCAAATGATGTTTTAACTAAAAAGCCAAAAGCATATAAATATACCATTTGAAGCTCTTGCAAAAATCAACTCAAAGCTGCAATTTATTCTTTTATCCCTCCTGTTCGTTCTATCATCCACCTACGTGCATATCACCAAAAGGCCAAGAAACACCAATCTCGTTTTCTTTTAGTTTTGCATGTCATTTACCTCCCCAACTTTTTGCAAATTCATCTCTCTGTTCATGTAAGTGCAGACTTATGGATACACGCTTTCTTATAGTTGGACCAACGACGACAATGTCCGCGAGGCTCTTCACATAAGAAAGGTACAAGAACTAAGACTTGTAGAACCACGAACTCACACACGAAGTAGTCGACGCAAGATCAATGAAGCATGAACTTGATTTGCAGGGGAGCATTGGGGACTGGCAAAGGTGCAACTATGGATTGAAATATACAAGTGATATTTCCACCACTTTGGAATACCACGCAAAGCTCAGTGCAAAAGGTTGTCGTTCTTTAATTTACAGGTAAGTCCGACTCGATATTTGAACGTTAATCTATTTTAGCTTCTCTTTGTAGTAGAGGTTACGTATAGAATCGAAATTCCTATGTGCCTTCACAGTGGAGATCATGACATGATCGTACCATACTTGGGTACTCAAGCATGGATAAGATCGCTGAACTATTCGATCGTCGACGACTGGCGATCGTGGATGGTCCAAGGTCAAGTTGCCGGGTAAGCTAGAATTGAATCCGGAGTAGTTAGTAGTTCTAAAAGCTACCTAAATGGGGTTTCTGAATAGATTGGGATTATGCAGTTACACGAGGACTTACTCAAATGGAATGACGTTCGCAACTGTTAAGGCAAGAATCCTTATGCGCTCTTTAGTCTTTACGTTGAATCACGATAGAACTGAAATTTCTTGGCGCGCTAATGGTCGGGTTCATCTGTAGGGCGGAGGGCACACAGCTCCCGAGTATAGGCCTGAAGAAAGTTTTGCTATGTACGAAAGGTGGATATCACAGGAGCCACTGTAGATGACATAAGCTTGAAAGCAATCGGCTTTCATGGTCATCATTGGCCCTCCTTCTTGCCCCTTAAAGAGCTCTTGGCCTACCCAACTATGAGCAAACAGCGTGAAGTTAGGTCATTTATGAAAGCATCTGCAAAAAGAGTTCATTCGTGCTCACTGGCTCCCAGATTGATAGCAGACAACTAGATTTCACCTGGGCCAACTCCAGCAATTTCATGTTTATATCGCAATGAAATATAATGTCACTTCAAGTTGAACAAAACTCTCTTCTCATCCTATATCCATGAACCATACAACCATTTTGTGCATTTGTTTACCTCCTTCTAGCAGATGGTTTGTGCAGAGCTCTCCACTCGTCCTCACTTATTTCGTTCCATGTCCATCCAGTCAACGAAACAATGCAGTCCAGTAGATACATAATCAAAAGCTTGACTCCCAGGATAATATTACGCAAAAGCTCTCTGAGTGAACAGAGAATGGGTCTGTTACTGAACCATGCACCAATTTATCTCATGAAATTATAATTGAAAGGGGTAGAAAACTCGAGTTACGACACACATTTGAGGCATTTACAGATTTAACTGGTTATGTCATACCAGATTTGGCTGTATCCAACGCTTGAGTTCTATAGCCAGTAATTGCATTCTTGAATTCTTTAAAATAGATATGCTAGATTCAAACACTCAGTTCACTCACAATTAACTTGGGTATATAAAAACTACAGTAGCCCAGGTTAACTCAGTTGACCCAGTTGCTGAAGCTTTGACAGTTCTCAAATCAGCCTCTACAATTCCAGCAACAGGCTGCCTAAAAAAAGAATAGAAACCGACTGACAGTAACAGGCCAAACAGCAAAAGACGCAGTTCGAGTCTGTTTGTCAGGGTTTGAGGGAGTAATTGCTATTGTGATGTTACTGTGGTGTGAGATTTAGATACATCTTTCTGTTAGCTTGTTTTCTTCTCCATATAGTACAACATTGCACCTCTTCAACATTGCAGCTGGATAGGAAGTCTCAAAATTTGCAGAGTTCCTCCTTTCACAGTAACTTTCTGAAGCAGACAAAAGCCGGAATGGAGCCTCCACAATGAATAGAATGCAGCTACTTCCACAAATGGTGTATGATACGTTACCCAAAATTGCTTCCATAGGAAGTAGTGTGTATAAATAACTTGGATTGGATGCGATAGCTTTGTATCTTCACTTATCACGCAGTTCCCGTTTAGGAAGTAATTCAGATCGCCTTAGTCTCAATTTGAATCTCATGCCTGTTCATACAGGAAAGCCAAGTAAAGGATATTATCAAAGCAACCGCCTGGCTGGCAGGGTAAAGACTAAACTCTAGTCATTAAAAGAGATGGCAAAAGCAGTTAAAGGTCAGTTACAATTAAATACTAAATACTACACTAATTACAGCAAGGCTCTCGAGATGAAATTCAATTAACTTCAGGCGGATAAAAATAGCTGATTCACGGGCTGCATAATGCCATCTAGCAAAAATTAAGCTTATGGTATTTGTCTATGTACTATCCCAGTATAATGATGGGTATATATGATCTATATGGAAAACACAGTATGGTGTAGGTAAGATTACCGCAAGAATTTCTTGAGAAAAACTTCAAGACTTCATCGATAATTATAACCTGCAGTTGATATTACATGATGATATTTAGTGTATAATGATCAAAATTTTACTCATGAAGATGAATGCAAAATCAGTAACTAAGGAATAGGTCAATTATGAGTACGAGATCAGAAAGTATATCTCCTGAAAATTCCGTGGGAAAATGTATTAAAGCTTCATCTGGTCTCACATTAAAACAGACCACTAGAAGGTCAATCTTGAAATGAGAAAAGGACCAATGAAAGCATCTAAAGCAGAAGGGAAGCAATATATCAACTAAACACTTTTATTAGTTTGCGGCATGCCATTGGGTTATAAAGAGAGATTCAAATTTAGCAGATGACATGTTAAGCACTACTTACAGGGAAGGAAAGATACAAGACAACAGTCCATTCGGCCCAAGACAGCGGGGTTACCTGCAATGCATGTCATTTAATTTTATCAAGGAAATATCTATGAATTGTCTTCAATTATCAGTTGTATCTCGGATGGGCCCAAATGAATAGCCACTTACAGAGAAAAGAATGGACAGTGGATGCACATATAGTATTAATATGTGAAGAAGCATCGTCAGGATGATGGAAGCAACAAGCCATAAGTTACTCCATGGAGGGATAACACTAAAATTAAACATGAAAAAATTAGCAGGAACTATTGTTTTTTTCAAGGAGAAACTAAAGAAGCTGCAGAGGCTAATATCAGCAAACAAACTAATGCCAGCATTATGTCCACCAAATACTGTTTACACAGTCTTATATTAAGCACAACCTGCTCACAAGTGACATGCGTTTAATTTCCTAATGATGACCACATTTTTGTCGTCTGGCAGCAAGAAAACTAAGGGCCTGCTTGGTAAAACTGAAAAGTAAGTGCTGAAAAATAAAGTACAAAACTCAAGTGTTTATCACCTTAACTGTTGAAAAATAAAATAAAAAAAATTATTTGATGGTAATTAAAAATTTATAGCCGAATGTTATTAATCTCTTACCAAAGATAGAGAAAAAGACCATCAATGGCAGGTTGTATAAAAAAATTTACCAAGATTCTAATTACAATCTATTATTCATGCAGTGAGAGCGGAAGCTTGGGGGTGATTAGCAGATGAGATCAACTGAAAGAACTAAATCAAGCATTATAATTTGAAGCTTCCTTGAATATACCATAGATTGACATAACAATCCCAAGCATGTATCTATTTTTTTTTTTTGGTCGCTAGCATGTATCTAATTAAAGGTATACCTTTTCAGGCACTAGCAAAGGATGAGAAATAGACCAGTCCGATACCAGATATCAAGGAAGAACTTAGAAAGATGAACTGGATACTTACAGCAGAGATTGATTTTCACTAAGATTATTCAGGGCATTGAACATCTCAACGACAACAAGGACAGTCATCGATACAGTTGAAGGATGCCGGTCATCAAATACACTGCATGGATACATCGTCTCCCTTGTTGAGCAAGTGTCAAAATTCATCTGAAAAAAATGCACATTTAGAGCTTCTAAAAAAGACGATTTAAGTATATAAAAATTATCTCAAAAAGGTAAAAAGCCAAAGAAGTGTATGTTTCAGCTAAAACATGACTCGCAAAGAGATGAGCTCTCTTTCTTTTTTCTTTTCAATATATAAAAAAGAGAGACATAAAATAAGAAACTCCAGCTTTGCCTCGTATTCAGTCCCATCAAAGATATCTCCAACAGCAGATAGAAATTTTATGCAATCTAAGTAAGAAAAACTGGAAGATTGTTCCTCAGTTGTCCTCGGAAGGTGTAATTCAAATTATCTTTCTTGAGAGGAAACTGAGGAGATTATACCTAGAGTTGACAATTTGTGTGTCAATGTCGTAATTGTGTCAAATTTAGGTCTAATCCATTCTTGCATGTTTATCAATCATGTCACAAATTTGAAATGCAACGAAAAGCTTATTAAATGGGTTACATGACACAATGCATTTAAGATAATCCACTCATATACATAATAAACTAGTAAAAATGTGTTAAGACATCTCTAAACATGTCTAAACATGTTTATAAATATTCTAGGATTGTCAAGGAGAGGGAGGGGTGGGGGTATAAATGAAACCATGATATCCACTCTATTGCATCTTCCATTTGACACAGAACTCTGGGTGACCTATACAAGTCACCTATGTATATTGTAAAGCAAAAAGAAAATAATGTAGATGTCATAATGTTGGTTTTGCTATACTCACAATTTTAATATTTAATATGCGAAGACTAGAATAGGAACACTCACCAATTCACTGTATGGTAACTTGGGACCACTATCTGCATAAACAAACCACCATATGAATCCCGCTACAGTGGCAAGGCCTACATAGGCTGCAACACACGGATACAAATATGCATCTGTTATCATCGTGACATATACAATAACATTCGACCGTTAATAGGAAGGTGTAAATCAGGAAAACTACAAAACACATATAAGTGTAAAGTTATAGTAAAGCATAAATTTGGGTAGAAAACTCAAGGAGAAAGTAGATATCAAACAGTCCTCTGCCATATCACGCGCAACAAAGCCCATAGTGCTTGATTTCTCTCATTGCCCAAAAGAAATCTCAATTGACATTGAGTTCCACCACCATGCCACCGTCTCTTAATGAACAAATAAACAACCAGAGCATACATCGGCACCAAACTAGTTTGCAGAAACCATATGATGTATAAACCAATGAAGACTTTGTTTTTGATGTATCATGATATATGGCCATGCCATGCATATCTCTTATGAAACGTTTAGGCCAATCCTTGTGGTTTGCTTGTTTTTCTATGAATCATGCATGTCAATGCTTTTAGAGAATCTTGTATTTAAGTGTAGAGAGCCTCTACTTTTTGCATTCAGCACACTGGGGTAGAATGTCATAGTAATAGTATGATTTGTGGGCTCCTGAAACATCCAGAATGTGCGTGAGGACATATCCAAAAGCATAAGAATAACACAACTCACCGATCCTTGAAAAGAAAAAGATAATTTCTCACGTTTCTTAATCTCATGATAATCCATCTTTTCCTATTTCAGAAAAATACAAAGAAAGTCTAATATTTCTTCAATTAACAGTTGGCCAATACCTAGAAACCAAAGCTCACAAGAAGATATCACACGTGATCCATATAATAATCTTTCTTATCATTGGATGATGGCATCATCGCTGAATGCAACATCAGCCTGATGATTTAGGAGAAACTAAAGACGTGCTTTCACATCCTTATATGATGTTTTGGCTAAGCATGTGTTTTGTTATTGGGCACCTGATAGGATGCTCATAAATCATACTGCTTCTTCACTAATGCAAAATGTGATCTAGGAAGCACATAGACAAAAAAGTTACAGGCAAGATGTGATCAAGGAAGCACAACCTCCAATTACCAAATAACGGAAGAATAACCATCCAGTGACCACGGCTTCACCAACCTGAAAATCATAAGATAGACGAATAAAATTTGAAGGAGCATAACAAGGAGCTTCTTGCCAAGGTAAAAATCCAATTCCATATAAAAGTGGTTTTACGAAGAGCTTGTAATGGATGTAATCTTCACGCCAAAAACAGGTTACACATTTTTAAAGTTCAAATTGGGACAAAGTGAAACATGATATAAGCTACCGGGGGCAAAGCAACCTATTTCAGTTTTCAGGGCAATGTGCAATAGAAGTTAGTTCAGCAAAAGTATAT